TGTGTGTGTGTGTGTGTGTGTGTGTGTGTGTGTGTGTGTGTGTGTGTGTAGGTACGTAGGGGGCTATATATGTGAGTGCTAGTGCCTTCAGAGGCCAAAGGCATTAAATCTCCAGGAGCAGGAGTTAGATTTAGGTGTGAGCTGCCTGACATGGATGCTGAAAACCAAATACAAGTCCTCTGAAAGAGTAGTGAATGCTCTTAAAACCCAATAAATTTTTATTAATTATGCAATATTTTTATATAATTATATATAAGAAAAAAGTCTGTCTGAAAAATACTGTCTTGATAAGCATTTAAAAGTCTGATGGGTTTTTACCATTCTCTAGTTTTAAGCTTCCTGTGATTATTTCAGTGGACTGAAGGAAAAGACTATTTGAACTACTCAAGGTAACTGATTACTAATTAACTGATATAATTAACAAAAGTGCAGAAGTCCAGACGCTGTAGCAAAGGTCCACAACTGAGCAGTTCTGTTAGCCATCCTATTTTTCTTCATGATGTGAATCATTTGTACTCTCACTTCTGGAGACCTGCCCTTTCATTCTGACATTTACTTAGAAAATTCCAAAGGTTTTGATAATGTACCTTCTTTGTTCTAAAATTCATCTTGGGGCAAAAAATCACTAAAGTTGAACATCATAACATTATTTTACAAACTTATACAGAGGAAGGGTGAGGACAGATTAGCCATGAATCCTTTCTTCTCTGGACCTTGGAGGTCAGTTTCACTGGCAGCAAATTTGAAGTTTGGCCCTAGAGGATCAAACATTCCCTGAGGTCTTAGAGGAAACTACATAGGAAGGAACATTTTTTTTTTTTTTTTGGGTCTATGAGGGAGGCTGAGGCCTTATCACTGCCCCTAGAGCATAAGAAAACCTAGCATGTGAAAATGGATCTGTGAATAAACAGAAATTTCACTTAATTGGTAGTTATATCAAAAGAGAAAAATTAATTGGGTGTATTTGTACAAACCTATAATCCTAGCATCTGGGAAACTAACCTAGGCTCATTTGTTTGTCTCCAAACAAAGAAGCAAAAGTAAAAATAATACAAATGTACTACACCTGGAAGGTTCAAGGAAGCATCCTTTGTTATTTTATTAGAATTGAATAAACAATTTTTCTTGGCCTTTAGATCCAGCCACTGCAGACTTAGAAACATGCAGCTAAAACCATCCTTTTTTGTTTGTTTGTTTTTTGTTTTGTTTCTTGAGACAGGGTTTCTTTATGTATCCTTCCTTGGCTGTCCTAGAATTCACTCTGTAGACCAGGCACTCCTTGAACTCACAGAGATCCCCCTGGCTCTGCCTCCCCCAAGTGCTGTAATTCATCACCACGGACCAGCATAAAAGCAGGTTTTATATTGGTAATTCAGACAGTCGAGAAAGCTAATCAGCTACTGCTCTGACAGGCAACAGGCAAAACTATCATAAAGGGGAATTATACTGTAAGACTGCTGAATACAATGTAAAAAGTATCAAGACTCCTGAAAAGCATGTCAGGAGTACTAGTGTGGAGATTTTATAACAAATGAGTTTTTGAATCAGATGTAATTTCACCTAAACAATGGGTGTAATGACACCCTAAGCGTAGTCAGAGGAGCTTCCTAAATTTATCAGGGTGACTCAAATAGTTTTGTGCCATATCTAGTTTGTTAAGAAAGGCAAACCAGTCTTTCTTTAGTTGTCAACATTACAGAGCTTTGAAGGCTGACTTAGAGACATTGACAAGAGCACAGGAACTTGTGCTGTGTAAAGAAATATCATGGTTTGCTGACAAGCAGATAATACTCAACACTAAATCCTTCATTTCAGACACACGGTCCTAACACAAATATGGTTCACTTGTCAAAGAAGTCTGCAAATCATAAAAAAAAGAGAAGACAAATAAACAAAGGGTTTTCTTCTTCATCTTGGGTTCTAATCAAGATTTGTGAGCATAGCCGGGCAGTGGTGGCGCACGCCTTTAATCCCAGCACTTAGGAGACAGAGGCAGGTGGATCTCTGTGAATTCGAAGCCAGCCTGGTCTACAAGGCTAGTTCCAGGACAGGCTCTAAAGCTACCAAGAAACCCTGTCTCGAAAAACCAAAAAAGATTTGTGAGCAGCAGCAATTAAGAACTGATGCTGTGTTGTTGACTATCTCTCTCATTGCAGTCATTATTTTTCATGAATGTCTTTCATTTTTGCTGAACAAGTAAGTTCAGAACAAAATGTCTAATGTGATATCCTGTTTAACAGACGAATACAATAGTTCTCAACCTATCAGAAAACAGATGTTTACATTATGATTAACAGTAGCAAAACTACAGTTTTGAAGTAGCAATGAAAATAACTTTATGATTTGGGTCACTACAACATGAAGAACTGTATTAAAGGGTTGCAGCATTAGGAAGGTTGAGAACCACTGAACTAACAGTTTCAGACATTAAGACCAGCTGTACCAAGGAAAAAGAAACTAGTTGAGCAGTTACATCTTTTCTGTTTTGATCATAATCAGTTTAGTTAACCAGTTCATTTTTCTTATGACTAGTGAGAAGTAGCATCGCCTGTCTTAAACTCTCCACTTCAGCAAATAGCACAATGAATACAGTGATGATGAGTCTCGTTCTGTTTTGCTCTTTTGTTGCTGTTTTGTTTCTCTGTGCAGCCCTGGCTGTCCTGGAACTCACTCTGTAGACCAGGCTGGCCTCAGACTCAGAGACCCGCCTACCTCTGCCTCCTGAGGGCTGGGATGGAAGGCGTGTGTCACTACTGCAGGCTATGTGATGATGAATCTTAACTGGTAACTTGATGTGCTTTAGAATCGCTCAGAGGATAAACCTCTGGGCATGTCTGTGAAGGTATTTCCAGAGTGCTTTAACTCAAAGTGGTCAAAGAAAACTGCTTTGAAAAAGGGTGTAGAGGTCCTGAACTGAAAAAAAAGAAAAAGGAGAATGCAGAGGCGGGGTATTGTCTCTTTCTGTTTCCTAACAGTAAGTGTGGAATACAACCAATCAGCCCAGGTTCTCTCTGTGTTATCTGCTCAGAAAGTGCAAATAAATCCATCCATCCTTCCTTAAACTACTTCTATTAGGTATTTTGTTACAACCTACAAATGCACTAAGTCAGTCTTGGATCATAGGAAGTGTCTGTACAAATTCGTTTTCTATCACCTCAAGTCCTCGTTTTCTCCCATGTGAGTTACGCGAAGGTTTTCATTCACAAGTTCATAGGTTCACTGGAGAAGTAAATGTAGTAGATACCTTTTCTCCAAGACGGATACTGCCACATTTCAAAATGTTGATATCATTTTTGCAGTCATCCATGAAGCCACAAATCAAACGGTAATCACTGAAAATGATAGCTGTCATTTTGGTAATGTATTGGTGACATTGATATTCAGTTATGTTGCCTCGGTGATCCACCAAGCAGGAAACCATGTAACCTTTACCAACTGGTTCTTCAGCACATTCTTTAATCTGTTCAAAAAAAAAAAAAGTAGCTACTTTATACATTTAAAAATCAAGAAACCACATTCAAACCAAGAAACTTATTTTGTTTGTTGCTGGAGATAATATCTCAGTATGTAGCCCTGACTAGCCTAGGACTCTCTATACAGCAGGCTAGCCTTCAACTCAGAGATCCCACTTGCTTCTGCCTCCTGAGTTCAGACATTAAAAGCTCTTTACATAAGAGACAAAAAGGAGAATGTTTAGAAATACAATGGTTTTAAGAAAATCTGATGTTATACCATGATATGGTAGAGACACAGATTTTGGTTCCTCACTGACTCCCTTGCCCAGCAAGGCCACAGGAACTAGAATTTCGCCTTCCTGGTTCAGGACAGAGAAGCCTAACATTTCCGGTCTTACAAAACTAGAAGATGGCTACTACATTTTCTGAACTCCTGAACTATCCTTCCCTGGTACTACTAGATCATGAGAACCTTCTTATTCCATGCGGTCAAGCCAATACCACAGAATGCTGTAGAGACCAAGAAGAATGCTGACAGGCCTGGCTGGATTTCCCCACCCACTTTAATATTCGATACACAATAGAATCTCCATAAAAACTGGAAGAGCAGGGTTTAAGAGTTTCTAGATAGCTAGATATGCTGATTCCTAGAGGGTGGGGCACTGGGAAAGGGGCATGGAACTTGAGGCTTTCGTGACTCCTTGGGGTGGGTGTCAAAGGACCCTTTCACAGGGGTCAGCTAAGACCCATCAGAAAACAGATATTTGCATTATAATTCATAACAGTGGTAAAATTAAATTTGTGAAGTAGCAATAAAAATAATTTTATGGCTGGGGGTCAGCACACGAGGAAGTGTATTAAAACGGTTGCAGCCTTAGAAAGACTGAGGACCAAGGATCTTTATCCTTTCAAGCACCACTTACAATAAACCAGTAAATGTCTTTTCCTCAGTTCACCACTCAAATAAAGGAACTGTGGGAATCTTTTTGTTTTTTCTTTAGACAGACTTTCTCTATAGAGCCCTGCCTGTCCTGAACATCACTATGTACACCAGGCTGGGTTCGAACTCAGAGATCTACCTGCCTTTGTAAAAAGGCTGGGATAAAAGGCGTGCACCACCATGCCTGGCTGAACCTCAATTTTTAACAGGTCAGGGTAACTCACTAAATCACCTGGAGACCATGAACTGTGGTAAATGCTTATAATAACAGCATTTAGGAGCTGAGGAAGGATTCAATTTTTTTTTCTTTCTGAGTCTCATACTTTAGTTAGAAATCTCTGTCTTCCTGAATTCTAATACAAATTTAAAAGCCAGCTGTGGCGGTGCATGCCTTGGATCCCAGCACTCTGGAAGCACAGGAAAGTGAATCTCAGAGTTTTACATACTGAGTTCCAAGTCACATTGTGAGATCCCATCTCAAAACATAACATCTATACAGTGACATACAATTTCATTACTTGTTTTTCTCTTTATACTCAATTTATACTTATATAAACAATGATTATAATTTCTTTTAAACACTAATGCCTATTATCTGATATATGTGCTCAACACACCCAAACTGCACACATAGCCAAATCATTTAGGAAGGTTTATAGGTCTCTGGAAAAATCTACTCTGATAGCCTCAGCAGCTGTCCTGTGTATCTAAGAAATAACAAAAACCCGATTTTATTGTACTGTTTCAGTGGGTAGTCACAAAAAGAAGTCTAGTTAAATATCCTTCTTGTATCACAACCAAGGCAGATGAGAACTCCAAGAAGAGTAAAGCAATTGAGTCATTCTCTTAATGAGGAGGTTGGTCAACAGATTCTACTTTGTCTTACAAATCACAATAGCCACAAAAATTATTTCACACTTTACCTCTGATATAGTTGACTTGCAAACTTCTCTGGCCACAGATTCAAATTTGGGATCAGTAGTCAGGTTCAGCTTGTAATTCCATAACAACTGGGTTCAAGACGAAAAAAACAAAATAAAACAAAAATTCTCTGGTTAGAACACCATGAAACTTGTAATCAATGATTATTATAAATTACAAGACTAATTATACAGTCATATAAAGCATATTTACATTTCCAGTAACACACATTCATTCACAGATAAAAAACTCACAAAATATATACAAACATAATTAAAGCAGCACCATTTAGATGTTCTTTTTTCTTTCCTCCTAAATGACATGTTTTTAAAACTATGAACTAAAATCATGTAGTACAAAGGCTAGTGAAATGGCTCAGTGGTTAAAAATATGTACTGCTTAGCCAGGTGGTAATGCCATATGGCTTTAATCCTAGCACTCAGGGAGGCAGGCAGATCTCTGTGAGTTCAAAGCCAGCCTGGTCTACAGAGTGAGTTCCAGAGCTACAGAGAAACCTGTCTTGAAAAATCAACCAACCAAACAAACAACCAAACAAGTAAGTATATACTGCTCATGAGAAGACTAGAGTTCAGTTCGCGGAACCCAGGTTCTGAGGTTCCTAACTGTAACTCCAGCTCCGGGGCATCTGACAGTCTTTTCTTGACCTCCATGGATACGGCACATATGCACAAATCCACACACAGACACAATTCAAAGTAAAACTAAAAAAATTCTAAATTGTGTGGGATCAAGAAAAAAACTAGCTGGACAGTAGTGGCATATGCCTTTAGTCTCAGCATTTGGGAGGCAGAGGCAGATAGATTTCTGTGAGTTCGAGGCCAGCCTGAGAGTGAGTTCCAAGACACTGAGGGCTACACAGAGAAATCCTGTTTTGAAAAACCAAAAACAGTAACAACAAAACACCAAACCAAAATTAAACAAAACCCAAAAACCTAAAACTAAAGTCCTTAGTAAAGTTTTAGAGAAAATATCTACTTCCAAAACGTCTGCCCCAAATGTTCAGATGTGCTGGAGTTTGTCTGAGAATACACAGAACAGTGCTTTCCACAGATCAATCTTAAGGAGTTGCTCAGACCCTAGTTCAGAATCATCTGTCTTTATTCCCTGAAAACACTTGATTGACCTTTGTTATATGGTTGTTTGGTTTTGATTTTTAATTTAGTTATTTAATGTATTTAGGAGTTTAACCACCACCCTGGCAATCTGTCTCCTCTGAAGGTGTTACAATATAATAAATATTGTTGTTTTGTTTGGAGTCAGGGTTTCTCTGTGTAGCCTTGGCTATTCTAGAACTTACTATGTAAACCAGGCTGGCCTCTACCCCAGAGATCTCCCTGTCTCTGCCTCCTGAGACCAAAGGTAGGCACTACCATACTTGGCTCACAGTAGTTATCTTGATGAAAGAACTTTTTTTAAAAAAAAAAAAAAAAGCTGTCACCCAGGTAGCAGTGGTGCAGGCCTTTAATCCAGCAAGGCCAGCCAGGCTGGTCTACTGAGCTTCCAAAACAGGCTTCAAAACTACAGAGAAACCTTGTCTCGAAAATCAAAAACCAAACAAACAAACTAATAAAGAACCAGCAATAGCCAAAACCAAAATAAAACAACAACAACAAAAAAGAAAAGCAATATCCTGTTAATTTGATAAACAGAACACTAATCCTTTTTATATGGCAATTGTAGTAAGGAAGACCATGAGCTATATCTTATGGTTTCTACAACAAAATAGTATTTATAAAATTCCTTAAACAATCCAACAAGACTTATCATCCTTTTAAAACTAACAGAATCAGAGAAAATATAAAGCTTCTAGAAAAAGATGAAAAAGCGTCCTAAAATCTGTCATCATATTTATAAAGCACATATGGTAAGTTACTGAAAATTTATACTTACATGATTGCAGTCTGAAGAAATTTCATTCTCAGGCTAGAAGAAAAAAAGGAGAAAGATGCTTTAAAACAAACAAACACTAAAAACCCAACCCCTCAAGTTTTCAAACATCACAAAAATAAAGTCAAAACCAGAATCTGATATTTAATTAAGGAGTACCCTGGAGCTGCTACTCCTTCCAGATCCCTGAGGACAAGCACCAGGATGGGACATGAGGAACAACCCCTCCTCTACCAACAGTACAATGTGGAAACAGGAAGGCACACACAATGCTATAAAGCAACAGCACCATAAGGACTCTTTTTTTATATGACATTTTCTAATTTTGAATGCTAAAGAGGAGTGGCTGGACAAAAGAACAGAGTCAAGCACGTATTCTTGGTAGTGAAAGACCCCAAATGTCAGGGGGTCTCAGTTGGAGCCCTCTGTCCAAGAACCAGTCCACTGGATACAAAAGCACGAGGTAGTTTATTGGATACACAGGCGCCTGTGGATGCTACAGCAACCAAGTTACTGAGCATGCCGGGCTGAAGGCACATTATGTATTTATAGGGATTTAAGAGTTACATAAGAGGCTGCATAGCCACAAGTATTTCAGTGGTTCTCAAATTGGCGGGCTTAGCTCACCCCAGGAATGGCCCCATGTCTATTCCCAATTTCCCCGAAAAACCACAAAGCTAGATAGAGAACCCTGCAGCAAGTTGACAGTTTCGATAGAATGCCTTGGGGGTGGGGTACTCCCTCTCCTCAGCCTAGTCAGCAA